TTGAAATGACTGTTTTCAAAATAATCTATTGAAGTCTTAACTATGGTTGCCATTTTAACATTTTCCCATGCACTTAGGTAGTTTTTGCACTTATTTTGGATGTAGGCCAAGTGCTTGTAAACCAGGAAACTTGACTTTTTTAGAGAAATAATAAGTATATTATGAGGATGTCACTATCAAGGTCAAAGCAAGTGCTGGTGTGATAGCCTTAGGACATTGATTCAATCTATCTGAGCCAAGTGCCATGGCCATTTGTTTCTTTTGAGGTGACCAGTCTTCTCTATGTAAGGAAGAGGAGATAACTTGGGGACATCTCTCCTCTACCTTTTGGGTAACAATTCCTTCCATAAGAATACAAACACTCAGTTTTCATCTGTTTCTCTTCCACTTTGACTTCTGCGTTCATGGGTGTACATGTCCTCCCTAAATTTTAAGACTTAAACATTTTCCTTCTATGGATCGATCCTTATGTATTATCCTTGTCCTAATAAATACTTTCCTCTTTCTAACATATTACCAACACAGTCTACGTAACAAATGCCTTCTTGTCAAATCCAGTATTTTTTGATCACTTATCTGAAGGATGAAAAGTGGGCCTCATTCAACATGCACACTGCCCAGAACCCAACACATTGTTGATTAATCAGTTAAAAAGGAAGGTCTTGGTTTTCCTTAGTAAACTTAATGACAGATAAAGAAGGTCATCTGGTTGAAGGGAAAATGATTTTGCACTTTATCTGCCACAGGCATTCATGTTCCATGTAGGCCATTTCTTTTGTTCACATGACCATGACCCAAACTTTTCTCCAAATAAATTGATGCTAAGATATAATTAAGGGCCACAAATATTTATAATACCAATACAGCAAGTATTTATTGGGACATAGTCACTCTATCACATAATTCTTTGCAAAGCCCAAGTCACATCTAATGAAGCAACGCGAGGCATCTTGTCATCTGTCTGAATGCCACAGTAACAGTCAGAACTTGGTGGTTCTGTGTTTTATTAGTCTAAATTATTGCTCATAAAAATAACTTCTTAGACCAGGTATGGTGGCACATACCTATAATCCTAGCCCTTGGGAAGTTGAGGCAGGAAGATTAGGAGATCAGGGCTAGACTCAGCTAAGTAGTGAGTTTAAGGCCTGCCTAGGCTGCATGAGACTCTGTCTAAAAAATAAGTGTAAAAATAAAATAGCTTCTTGATGTTATGATCAATGGAATGAACAGATATATGATAGTTTAGGAAGGATGGGTGTGGTGGAGAAAACACATGGGAAGACTGGCACACCAGCAACATGGGGGCCTCCCCGGGACTGGTGGGTAGGAGTGGTCTACAGAACAAGAGGATGCACAAGAGGTTAGGTGACAGCAGACAGTCTGACAACAGTTTTTCTGGCGATGGCTTAAATTATTTTGGGAGTTTCTTGGACTAATCTGACCAACAACTTGAAGGGAAGTTTCCCACGCCTGGCACTGGAATTTTTGTTAGGTAGCCTTCAACTATACACACACATACTATATGTGTATTTTCACTATGATTTTTCAGATAACCTAAGTTGTACTTAGTATGTCATTGATATTCTGAGCACAGGATGAGCCTCACTCCTCTTCCTCCAATCATTGAACTTGCTGGTCCTATAGAAGACTAAGATTACCATAATCTCTTCATCTGGATAATATTTAGAGTAGATGCAAACACTGATATGTTAAATACAAAAGTCAGACCTCAGCATATTATAGCAAAATGGCTGGTACAAAATCAGTATGGTACATTTGTAACTTCTGAAGAAATTAAGAAAGATACCTGGTTTAGAGCCTGGTGTGGTAATGCATGCCTTTAATCCCAGCACTCAGGAGGCAGAGGCAGGTGGATCTCTATGAGATCCGCATAGCGAGTTCCAGGCCAGCTGTGGCTACAGAGAGACCCTATCTCAAAAAGATCAAAAAAAAAGAAAGAAGAAAGAAAGAAAGAAAGAAAGAAAGAAAGAAAGAAAGAAAGAAAGAAAGAGAAAGAGAGAGA